CGGGACGGGGGGGTGTCGGTCAGGCCTTCCCTTGCCTTGGCGTGTGGGGAAGCTCGGCCGGGCGCCGTGCTGAGGAGCGGGGCTGCAGCCCCCGGTGCGCCCCGCCGCAGCGCTCGGCCTCGCGGCGAGAGGGCCGTGCTCTCCACACAAGCCTGTGCCCCTCGCTCCCGCCCGAGCCCGCGGTTCTGAGCAGGGTCTGTGAGGAAACTTGGGATCGCCCAGCCTGAGGGAGATGCCTGTGCTGCTTCTGAGCCTCCCAGTGCCTCCAGGCTGCGCAGGTCCACCTTGCTTGTGGTGTGAAAGTTGCCTTATGGAAGGGAGACGCGCACATACTGAGAAAAGTCGCGATAAACTCTCAAAAACTGCCACACTGTATAAGTATTTGCACTTTAAAAACTAGTAACGATGTTCATAGTTCGAACTGGTGGTCTTCCTTAGCTGTCAGAGAGAAAGTCCTGGCTACAAAAGCTGATAGAACAGTAGGTCTTGCAGCGTACTCGGGTAGGATTTGCCTTTCCCACACATTCTTCTAGACACAGATTCTTGTTTCTAAGTTATTTCCAGATGCGCTGCAGTACTGGGAGAATTCTTGACCCGTCAGGTTTTTTTCCTCAAATACATATCTCTATTTAATGAGTTTTTATTGCACTTTGATAATAATAAAATTAATTTAGAGGGCAAAAGCACAGTTTTCTAAGATACCTCAGTGTTGGAAGTCTCCTCGTGCTGGGCCTATCCTGATGTCTGAAGCGATGCTGAAATACAATCCCACTTTGTTTTCAGACACTCAGCTTCCTTCAGCCAGCTGCGGAATGCTTCATTTTCATAAGCTCAGTTAGTTGCCCTAAAGCATACAAGCAAGTGCAAATCGTAACAACCGCCTGTTTGTTGACATAAGTTTTGGGTATTTACTTTTAGAAAAATGAGCAATTTATGAGGAGTACAAGATGTAATATGAGGATTGGGGAACAGCCCACTTAAAGCAGTATTGCTAATGATAAAACCCAACAAAATCCCACTTTGGATCAGATTAACCTTTAATCTTATTCTATTACTTAATTTCTGATAATTTATAAGTGTCATTAACTTCTGGTTAGCAACTGACTCTTCATAAGAATAAGAACTGTTGCAAGAGAGTGTTTGCACTCTAACCAGCAGCTGGCTAGAATGTATTTCAACCCCGAAGCCAAGGGTTTAATTTTAGTTCAGAATTGTTATCGCTGTTCTGCAAATTTGTGATAAACCTGTAAATCTTTAGTCCTGTGCACTTCTGCATTTGTGGCAGTGGTTCTGTAGTTCAAAACCAGATAAAAGTATTTACTTTCTGAGAGTTGACTTCTACAGGAACCATCATGTCTTGCTTTCAGATAAGAACCGAAGTTTTCCATTTTATTTTACTTCACCACTAATTATCTGATACCGATTTCTTAGTGTGTCTCTGGCTCATTTTTCTTTTTGAACTAAACCAAATTGCCCGGTTGTCTGTCACAGGACAACCTTTCAGTATTGCAGAGCAGTCCGTGGAATGATTTGTTTTAAAGTTTTAATATTCTTTGCACTCTTTGCTGTCTTGCTACACATGCATTTACATTTTTCTTGGAGTCCTTCTCTTGTTTTCTGCTTGGGCCTTTGACTACTTTTAATAAGGAGCAATGCAAACACTTTACAAATATAGCCATCTTCTGAAAACCTTAACATGTTCATCAGGTGTCCGTGACATAAATGCTTCTAAGAAGCTAAAATTAATTTTAGAAGTGGTTTAAGTGAAAATGATTAATTGCATTTGTTTTGACACAGGTATGAAAACTCAATGGGGTCGTCCAAAAATGTAATAAGTGAGCCTGTTGATGTGGAGGAAGGCTATAACATGATGGTAAGACATTCAGCTACTATAGCTGTGGTAGGATTTTTCCTACTGCAAGAAAAACTGAATTGTCATGTTGGGATTCATTGATAAATGAGTTCATTTGTGCCTTCTCTGAAAGTATTGATTCTAGAAACTGAATCCATTTAATTTATTAACACCATGATGAGAAACCTTTAAAAATGAATTTTACTGTAGAAGAATTGAGTATTTCCTCTCTTTTTTGCGTAATTTCTAGTTGTGTCAGTATATAGTTTTTTTGCGCTTCAAGACATTTGTTTCAGCTGATTGCCATTTTAGACTTTTTTCGTCCCACCTCTGCTGTAGTGTAAGACCTTAATGTTTGGCTCCACTAAGAGTGGTGTTCTTTGGAGTAGCTGAGATTAGAGCTGAAGTCATTCATCCAGCTCTAATGAAGTCATTCGTCAAAGTTTATTCTCATGGAGAATGCAATGGATGAAACTGGTGGTTTTGTTTACAGGAATGTATTTATTCTCTCTTGGAGAATGCAATGGATGAAACTGGTGGTTTTGTTTACAGGAATGTATTTGTATATTTGAACACCATTAAACCAAGAACCCTCATAAAAAGTCTTTTAATATTCATAGCCATGCAAAGAAGCAGTACAGACCAAATCACCAAAATCTGCTGTTTAAGGCTAAACTAATTTGTAGTCACTCGGTTTGCCTAACAGATGATTTTATTTACAGCACTTTGTAGAAGGTGACTTTTTTGGGTGGTTAGATAGCAAACAGGAGGGGTTCAGGTTGAGGAAGCAGTCAAAACCTGTGTGTCAGTATCACTTCACTCATATGAAGGAGGGAATTAAAACTTGCTCTTGTCTAATCAAATGAAATGGCTGTGGGGATACCCACTATGGCCTTTGGCACAATAGTTTAGACTTCTCTGTGGCTGTACGCTTCTTTATTGCTAACTGTCCTGTTAAGACCTCCATTAAGGGTTTGTTGTTTTCTTTTGACTGATGTCTGACTTAATAGAGACTAAAACTTTAGGTCAGGCTCTGGTTTCATGATACAAGGTGCTTGGAAATGTCCCGTTAAGATACTTCTGCTTTCTTTATAAGCCATTCTGGTTTGTAAAAAAAAAAAAAATCGGTTTGATGTGGACTAATGCAAAGTTTTACACTTACTTGGGAGTAATGATCTCCAGAAATAAGGATGGAAAACAACTGTCTTGGTGGCAGTTGTGCAGAAAGGAACCTTGGGATTGTTGAAGGTCATGTGTGCAACAAGAGAAATTCTGCTTAAGTATTAGGAAGAGTTGAGTCTGCTCTGACCAGGGACTGGGAGATTAGACTAGACCTGCAGAGGTCCTTTCCAGGCTTTGTTATTCTGGGACTGTGTAAGCCATGCTAATTTATGTGTGATATGGCATAATGTATATGTTATGATTACATCATAAGTGATGAAGAGGTAATACCGTATTGCAAAAAAAACCCTCGTGTCATTTTGACATGATTAAATGATAGTAGTATCTGTAAGATTTGAATAACCTGTCCACAGTATTTAGCATTGAAAAGGTCTTTGTTGGAAGTATTTGTATCTGCTTTTGGACATTGTCTTTCAAAGACAGATGTGAATCAGTTGGAGGTAGTCTGGAAGAGTAAACTGTAAGTGCTCAGGTTCAGAAAACTTGAAATCTGAGATCTGAAAAATAGAAGGAAAAAGATTAAAGGAATAGGAATGGTAAGCCCAGAAGATAGGAGGACCAATGGAGGATGAAAAGGAACATAACAGCACAAAAAATAAAAGGGAAGAAAAAGAAATCCAAGTGGTTTCCAAGTCCTCTGTGTATGACAAGAATGAGTAGGCTTATGCTGTGTGAAAGCCATAGTTAAATGTTGCGTAGATTGTGCTGAGTGAACAGTGTCAACTGATGGATTTAAAAAAAAAAAAGATGCAATAAATGAGGAAAGATTTGTTTGTTTACTTATTTCATTTTTGGCGGTTGGAGATGCCATAGATTAGCTTTACTTCCAGCTAAGTGAGTGTTTGGGTCTTTTTTTTGAAGTTTTGCGAGTAAATTAATGGAAAATGCAGTCTGCACGTTCTTTTGGTTTAAGACAGATACATTTCAGAGACGATTAGGTTAAAACTATTTGACCAGTTTAGTACAGATGCTGTTTTTTCACGTGCTTTGCCTGGGTTTCTTTGGGCCAAAAGGTATAATTTGCTTTATTTATTTCATGAGGTTTTCCAAAAGTTCACTTACATAGCTGTGCTATTTTTTTCTTTGTTTTCATTGAATTACTTGGTAGATCTGTGGAGCACTAGATGGCACACTGCAGCTTTGAAAGAAGTGATTGAGGACATCTGGATGAGAGAAACCTAAGTTAAATATTATTATATAAGCACTGGAGTAAAAGCAGTTTCATTTGTGTTGTGTTTCCTACCACCCTAATAAATTACAGCCACTCATCTGCTATATTAATTTTTACTGTATTTTCTTTCTAAAGATGGGCTAGTGCTATAAAACAAAGTGGTTGCAGGCTTGATGGTAGGAATGAAAAGAGGAGAAATGTGTCTTCTGATTAGTGCTGTAGAAAATCAGTCTGTTCGTTCCTAAAATAGTGTTTAGATTTATGTGCCTTCTTTGCGGTTAGGTTTGTCAGTGTTTAAAGATAACTTGGTCAGCAGTTTTGTGCTATCGTGGTGCATAGATTTAGGGTTATAGTATATAGCTTGGCTTTATTTCAAATTATTTTCTGAGAAATAACTCGATACGCTGTAGAAGAGGCAAGATTTTGTCTAGAATAGAATAGACTATTTCAGCTGGAAGGGACCTACGACGATCATCTAGTCCAATCTACTTGACATCTGTCAGTTGATACAAATATTTCTTAACATATTTGGTTTCAAAGGTCTTGCAGTGGCGTATTTTGCAAGTGCAAAGAAATATCTTTATTAGGTGAATGAAGCTCCTCCTCAGTGCCTTTGAACAGCTGTAGCTTTCTAGTAATAACACAGCTAACTTTAGTTGCCAGGAAATACTTCCTGGGTTCTTGTCCTCTCAGTGAAAGAAAAGTCTATTTTTTGTACATGCTGGATGGTTCTAATAAATCTCGTGCCTTGCTCCAGACTCCAGTCAGCTAACACACGTATTTTGGTCTCATGCAACTTTTATCTTAAGTAGTTAGTTCTAGTTAACACAAGGTAACTAGAACTTTTGTGAAGCCTACCGTGATGGTCTAGCGGCATTGACCATCAGTTAAATGGAGGTTAAAGATGTGTAGTGTAGACATATCCATACTGAGGGCTGGGTAGTAACTGTCATGTCAAATTGATGAATCAATCTGCTTATCATGCAGAAAAATGGTTGTGAAAATGAATACGGACACCTGTGTCAGATATTTGGGGAAAATTCAGTACCCACACGCCCCACCTTGGATGATTTAACCACATATTGGATGAAGTAAACTTATAAAACCAAAATTTATATGTATTTTTTTTTCCATCCCTGTATTTCTTGTTTTCAGGCTTCTTTCCAACGCTCTAATAGCCATGACAAAGTGAGGAAAATAGTAGCAGAAGAGGGACGTACAGCAAGGAACCTAATTGCGTGGAGTGTTCCACTGGAAAACAAAGAAGATGATGGTATGTATTGAACAGTCTTCCACCAGCTTTTGCCACTTCCATCCCTTTGTCCGCTGGAGCTGTTCACCTGGAAACATGTTTCTTGCATAGGATTTCTCTATAAAAAATAAATAGTACAATTTTAAAGCTTTTTTCCAAAATGGACCCTGCAGTTGACAGATCACTTAATAAGACCCTCGCAGTGACAGTTTAAAAACTGTTTTCATTTTGTTTGTAAGCAACATCTAAGACTGTTCTCTTTTGCTGATATTATCAAGATACTGGTGTAATATAATAATGTTGCCTTAAACTGATCTCTTGTAACATGGGAATTCAGAACTGTAGGGATGGCTTGGAACAATCCAACAAATTGTTCTCTGTGCTCTAAAACAAGTAAGTTTGAAGGTTACTTTTGGTATCGCTTCAGTCTTTGGTAAACATCTGTGAAGAATCTTTAGGGAAGGGGATGTGCGGGGACAGCTTTCCATAACGCAAGTCCTCAGAACAGTTTTGTTACTGTTGTAATATTCTCTTGTGGTATGATGACTTAAGGAGCCAGGAATTGCCTGCAATTTTTATACTGCTCAAGTTGTTCCAGATGTCAGAATGCCGTTTTTGAGGACTCCATCTCAAGTATTTTTGTAGCTCACATGTCCCTGTGCAGGTGCTGCTGCTTTTGAGACTGAGGCAGGAGCATCTAAAAGTAAATTTTTTTTTGCTGTGAAGGTAGTTGAACACTGGAACAAGTTGCCTAGAAAAACTGAGCGATCTTCGTCCTTGGAGATGCTCAAAACCTGACTGGACGTAGTCCTGGGCAGCCTGCTCTAGCTGACCCTGCTTTAAGCAGGGAGGTTGGACTAGATGATCTCCAGAGGTTCCTTCCAACCTCAGCTGTTCTGTGATTCTGCCAGTGGAAAAGATATTTCTGTGAAAAGTTATGTCTAAGTTACAAGATAATTAACCCTATGTCTGAAGCAAACTGATGCAAAGTTTAAACTGTCTTTTGGCTTGCTTTATGCATTAGGGTATATTTGTGAATTTTTAATTTTTTTCTTTTTAAAGCTGAAAAGTCTAAAGTCTCTGAAGACAGTAAGTTGCTTGAAAACCTGTTTAGGTGTTTGTACGTGGACAATTGTGTAGGTTTCATTAAGGAGATGATGTTCAGTTCAGAAGGCATAGTTGTACCTCTGTTCAACAGTGACAGGCAGAATGGCAGTTAACTTAGGATTGTCAGCCAAACATCCTAAACCTGATTACAAGTGTCCACATTTACAGGCTTTGGCTTCAGGTTCTGACCCGTGTACTTCAGCGTCGTCCTGGCTGTCTTAATACATTTTGTAGAGAGGCGTTTTTAGCAAGCACTAACTGGTCAGCAGAAAAACATGTACCGTGGATCTTTGTTAGCTACATGTAGGAGGAGAAAATGGAAATAACGTAAAACTTGAGCGTAACCTGACCAAGTAGAACACGTACCTCTCAGCTTTGGATCCCATGCAGCAGCAGCTCAGGTGCTTATCATGAATATGTGGATTTTTAAGTGGTCCAGTTCTGTGTTCTTGTGACAGCCTCATTCACGTCTGTCTCCAGAAGGTGGATTCATCTATTTGCCAGTCTTACATTTGCCTGCATGTTCTTGAGTGTGGTAGTCGATCCGTTGTTATTATTGGACTAATCCCATATGTCATTGAAGCAGAATAGAATTGGGGCCCAAAGTATTTATAGATTTTGAATCTCTAAATTTACTTTTACTTTTTATTTATAAATTTAGATTTCTGCCTTTTGGGGAAGGTAGTAATATGAACAAATATATGTGAAAGGAATGTGGAGTTTATTTCTAACTGGTTTTGAGGTACTTGTGAGTTGATTCGATTTCTGTTTAAATTTTGTAGTAATGCCTTGCTTGTGATATTCTTTTAGAAACTTTCAGGTAAGACTTTCTCCTTTAAAAATGAGCGTATGTGAGTTGTAGATGAATGTTTGCTCTAACATTTTCTGCCAAAACATGAAGAATGAACGTAAAAGTGAATTTTTAGCCTTCGTTAAATAGTTGTTATGTATGATAATTAAAATCCAAGTAGCTATATTCATTTCCTTCTTTTGGTTGTATTAGCACCATTGTAATTTTAAACTTTTGGTCACTGGTCCTTTCTCCTTTTTAAAATATCTTCATTAAATCATAGGCTGACCTTTTTGCACAATGCAAAGGGCCCAATGATGATTGCCTGATAGAAAATTTCCCTGTGGAAAGGAACTTGTGGCTAATGAAAGTCTGGAAGGGCCAGATCCTTTATCTCTTGACCCTTGTCTTGGCACAGGGGGTATATATGTTGGTGTCAGTGAGCTCTGACTCATTTTATGCTGATCTTTCAGTATGTATTTTGTCCCTGAGGAATGATACAGCAGTATTATGAATTAGGACAGTTCTAACTCATTCGGGGTTGTGTAAATCAGGCCAAAGGTTCTTGGTGCAGTTTCTTCTGCTTGTAATGTTCAGAGGTATTGCTTTGACAGCAACAGTATTTAACATTTTATGTTATTTACTGTTATTCATTATGAGATTATTTTTTTTCTACAGAAACATGGTATGGGCATTTGCTATTAGTAGAAGTAGTGTTATAGAGGGTTGATAAAATACTGGATTCATTTTTTTTCTGTTCATGTATCCTTCCTTTTTCTGTTTCCTTTAAAAATTGCATGCTTGTGTCCTTACCATTTAACTTTTCGTCTGAAAGACTTGTGTATTTTATATGTAGGATATGGGTAAAAGAGCAATAATGAAAATAATTCAATCAAAACCTTCAAGTTCCTTAGTGGAGATATATAGTGCCTGTCAGTAGAAACATTTCCTTAAAAAGGAGAGAGATTTCTGGGAACAGCAGGTAGCACTTCTGTTAGGTTTTTCGGAGCAGCATGCACCCTTTTATGTCAGATGCGAAATTGTAATTACGAGTACAGGTCAGTGACATGAGACAATCCAAAACATAGTGGCAATGATCTAGAAGAGGTATTGACTGTTTACACATTTCAGCTGTTGAAATTAAAGTACTCCTTTGTAGAATTCAATTAGATGCAGCAGGTTCTGTTGGATAGACTAATTAATAATACGGTTGACTTTGTGTCCTAGGAGGAGGGCCTTATACTTGTGAAGAATTAAGTAGTCTGATATTCTGTCTCCATAATTAAATTTGCATTCCAAACCGATGGCCACCAGTCGCCTGTTGCAGTCACTTAGATCTAGTCCACCTCGGAAAGCTGTGATCAGTCTAATGAAGGACTTCAGGATTTTTTTCCTCTGTAATCATTTTATATACGTAACATGAAATTTGAGGCACTGCATGCAGATAAGCACTACATCCAAATTTTTTTTACAAAATCTAAGATACAGTATTAGTAAGAGTTAAAACATCCCAGAGGCTTGATATTTAAATGTTAATAGGAGGTAAGGTGCCTCTGGAACTTTGAGAGATGTGTCAAAAAATTGGAAAATCTTATATTTTTAACTGTTCCCTTCTAATTTCCTATTTGTTTAAAATAATTTGGGCTCTCGCCACATAGAATTTATTTGTAGATTAAGCGTTTCAGGGTAAGGAAACATATTTTATTGGTTGAAATGTCCCTGGCACGCTTTGGAGAGCCTGCTGCATAATCAACTCCTTTAGCAAGAGCCGGCTGGAGTAAATAGGTTTTGCAGTGTGTGATGAAAGTCATGAAACTTGGATCTCTTTGGCCAAGTAAGGAAGTTGTAAGAGTCATGACTGAAAACACTGTGTGTAAGCCCTGGCAACACTGGATCTGGTTGTAACTGGCAGAATATAACATGAAGGGAAGGGTATTCTTTAAGGCTCCTAAGTTTCAAATCTTGAATTTCACTGAAATGAATGGGAATCCAGTCTAGTGCTGGTAGATGAATACAGGGCCATTATGTTCTGGATGAAACAGTGACAGTGATTTGTAAAAGTGATTTTGTGCCAAATATATTGCTGTAATTCAGTCTGGAGGTGGAAAAACCTGGAGAATTTTGCTTATATCCATGCTTGGAGGTAGTAATTTCTCCAGATCTTTAGCATTGTATGGTTAGAAAAATCATATCTACTGCTGCTCTACAAACTTCTAAAAAGATACGATTCTTAATATCGTAATATTAGATATCTTAATATCTTAATATTGGAAACCTCAATGTGCTTCCTTGATTAAGAGGTCAAAAATAATCAGTCTTGTCTGGTTGCTTCCTCCAGGCAGATGCGTCTGCGTTACTTTAGATGAAGTTCAGGCAACCGGGTCTTATCCAAGCCTCATTTTTGTGAAAATATTTAAGGTGGACAATTGCACCAGCTGGGCTATAGGATAGATTCTGGAGTGCAGACTGGTTGTATGTAGCAGTGGCGCTGTAATGTGGACTGACTGTCTCACAGGTTTTATAGGTAACGTGGAAGAAGAGAGGTGACGGGGTAGGTTTCTCACACTGTATAAAAACTGGAGTAAAACGACAGAATGCTTACCCAGTTGTGTCCTCAGATTCATTCAAGGAGATTAAAAGAAATATAAGTGAAAGTTGGTACCGTTCCTGCTG